CTTTGATTAGGAGTTCCTGCATGGCAGGGGGTTGGACTGGATGGCCCTGGTAGTATCTTTCAACTCTATGATTCTATGATTCTATGAATATTCTATACCTAAGAAACCTACCATAGGTTGCCATAGGTTGACAGGTGACTTGAAGACACATATACACACACAGGTTTGGGACAACAGGCATAGAACATCATATTTACAGTCTGATGTCACCAACCCCATCCAGTCAGTTCTGGAATGTCAAGGGAGTGACAGCCAGGAAACCACATATGTACATACCACTGAGTGGTTTCCTACAACTAGGGTGGGGGTGAGGTGGGCTAATAACCACCAAGCTGGCCTTCTCCCTGTTGGTTTGCACCCCCAAGGTCCCTTATGGGGAATCCCAAAATGTTGGGCATACAAGCTCTGTCTCCCCACCCCAACTGGAATTGGCCCATGTCACAATGCCACAGTTATGCAAAACTATCAATTATCACCCTTGACCCATCCAACTCTCTAATATTTAAAATCAAAGAAAGGTGAGTGGGTAAACAAACTACAGCTAAACGCCAGACGAATATCAAGGGCCTGTTTGTATATATCACAGGTGGGCCTGAGTGAAAGGTATTTTCAACAATGGCCACCCAGGGAAAGCCTGCCCATCTCACTTGCCAGATAATCCTCAGACTGGCTGGTTTCTGAGATGCAGCATGTGAGCCTTTGGAAAGAAACTGGCAACCAAGGAAGAAAGACGTCAGTTCCCAGCTTCCCACACCTAACAGTCCATTCAGGAAAATCTGGAGGTCCATGCTTCTTAACAGATAAAAACATAATTACTGACTTGAAAAGTCTTGTTGGTGGTGTTACTATTGATGTTGCTGCTGTTACTTTTGTTGTTGAATCTACTGCAGTGATGGCTCCCATGTTAATGAGATGATGAATCTGCTCTTGGTTTTAGTTTGAACTTTAAAGGTGTTGTCTGCTGAACCGTATCCCCCAAAATAGGTTCAGCACAACGCATATCTCCTTTGAAGTTCAGATTAAAATTCAGAGTAGATTCATCATTCCACTGGCATGGAACCAGCATTTGCCACTGATGTGCTTAGTTTTTCATGGCTCCAAGAAACCAGTAAGTACAACTCTGTGTATGACTTTGAGGTGAAAACATTAAAAAGCAACAAAATATAACTTACATCTTCAAAGATGACAATGCCTTTATTTTTCATATATGGTTGCTTTTGAACTGCCTATGCTGCAGTTTTGCAACACAGATATGTGATGCCAGAAAACTGGTGGTTTTCATTTGTATTTCTATACATTCGAACAGAGCTTGAAAATTTACTTTCAAGAAAACAATTGGTTGAACTTACCATTCCAGTCGCAGGGCCCCCAAAACAGTTACTTCTGCTGCTTCAATCTTTACTTAGTTCCAGTTATGGTTGCAATTTTAAAAGTAACTACTTTTCCATTATCAAAAGTAACTAAATAGTTATTCTTAGCTGCTTTGAAAAAGTTGAATGGTATCAACCACAGGTTTTGTTCCTCCTGTCCAAATTGTCATCCCGACACAAAAAACAGAGCACAGGGCAGCTACAAGAGGTAGCTACATGAGTCAATGCCTGCCCTGAATCATATGATACTTCTCTGTTGGCTTTTATCTTTCAAAACATCACAAAAGGGTGATACAGCACATTGTTAAGTCATAATGGCAATGTAATATAGTTATGCCTTATTTATTGGGAAAGGAACTAATTACACATAATAAAGAGAGATATAAAACTTCAGTTATTTTATCATCACATCCAAGGACAAACCATTATTCTAGTTTTCTCCATACTACAACAGAAAATGAGTATTTTTGTACAGTGTGGCATAGTGATTTGAGTGCCGGACTATGACTCTGGATGCTAGAGTTCAATTCCCTGCTTAGCCATTAAATCCACTGGGTGAGCTTTGGCAAGTCACATACTCTCAGCTTCAGGGAAAGACAATGGCAAACATCCTCTGAACAAATCTTGCCAAGAAAAACCCACAATAGGGTCACCCTAGAGTTGCCATAACTCAGAACAATTTGAAGGCACACAACAACAGCAAATTTCTTATTCAAGCATCCTGGCATGTTTTGGAAAAATTTTCTGCACAGAAAAAATGAGTACTGGGGGAGTTGCACAAAAAACATATTTTCTGTCCATGGAATACTGTTTTCTGCACAGGAAATACATTTTCTGTGTAGAAAATGACCAACATCTTTTTAGTGGGCTACATAAGACCATCTTACACTATTGTAGCTCACTTTTTTGGTTGTTGTAGAGGTTGGAATTCTTGACTGACTGTGCAACAGCCCAAATCCTCCCATTTTAAGAACACAGTCTCCCAACATGGACACATTTATGTTGTTGGAAGGTGGGGTTCAGCAGAGAAACATCCAATGGTTTTTCTGTAACTTAAAGCTTTGCAAGAACATCATCTGCAGAGGCCTCCCAAGAGCTTCCCAGTGGTCCCTTCAGATGCCTATTGCAGCACATTCAGCTATAAGAAAATAACTGCATACATTCTCACTGATTCCCCCACTCTCCGATAACATAGAAATGAATGTGTTGGGGAGTGCTACATCACTTAAAAGATGGGTTTGGCAAAGTAGCATGGTTGGGGGAGGGATGTAGCAATGGAGATGCAGCTATCTGTCAAATGTATGTCTCCTGATGCAGGATTCCAACCAATGTATTTTTTGCACAAAAAGCCACATGTTTTTCTGTAATGGAAAATCTCCAGAACGCTCCAGGATATTTGAATACTGGGAGAAAATTATGCAAAAACATTACTGTTCCATTATTCTTCCTGATGGAATTTCTTGATTACCAGTAAACCTATTTTTTTACTAGGAAACAAATAATAGAATATTCTTTCCACCCTTAAGAAAGTATTTGAAAGCAATTACTTCCAAACTTTGAATTTAAATAATTTCAAATATGCAGTGAAGTAGTGGTCAGTCCCTCCCACCCTGATTTCTTTTCTTAATTTTCTCATCTGTAGCACACCATGGGGTTCTAAAAGGAATGATACTGGTGGAATGTTATCATATATGATTAGAGATGGGAAATGCTCTTGTGAGCTGCACGCTTCCCTATAGAAATATCTATTTCACATCGCTTGTGACTGGAAACAGGATGAAATACATACTGCAGTATCCTGGAGTGTTGTGGAGTGTTTCGGCACAGAAACCTGTACATTTCTGAGACTTATAATGAGTTTGAGAGGAGAAAAATGCACAAAACAATGCACAAATATATTTTCAAATGTGTATCTCTGAAACATTTGCACAAATGTATTTTAGTCAGTGGAAAAAGCAGATGTAAGAAAGCAAATGGAAGGAAAGTATGCACATTTTTCAATGCAGGAAGCAAAAATGACCAGATAAAGAACTGGAGCAGCACAATATTCAGAGAAAGTTGTGGAAATGGGACAGATATGCCCATCCTCTCTGTGTGACTCAAGATATCCCACTGCCAAGCTAAATTTTACTCCTTGAAATTCTGTGATGGAAATAACTTGTACCCACTCCTTCCAAAGCCAAGTGCCTTCAGTAGACATACAATCCCATTGACATCATCAATGGAAACAGAATACAGTGCAGCCTATGTATATTGACTAGTGCTTTCTAAAGTCTGAGTAAATAATAAATAGGAACTATATTGCTATTCTGCTTTTTTTCGAGTACAATGCAGCTAATATTGCTGAATGCTCAGACTGTTTGTCTGACCCTTGTGGAGTTGCTCATTTAGGGGCTATGTTTTATTCATGTGTTTATTTATACATTTATACTCCCTAGGATAGTGTCTCCAAGATACACATCTCATTTCTATGCATGGGAAACAAGGAGAGCCATCAGATCACCACTCTCAACCAACAAACCAGAGTCATGCTGATGCAATAATGCAATTGGGCACAGTGTCAGTTTATTTCATGCTGATGAGATTTTTCTAAGAGGAGGCATGTAAGACTAGTTAGAACAGCAGGCAGTGCTGGTGGTGTTTAGAAAAGAAGTGCATTCCAGTAGCCCAAGGGCTGCTGTGCCAACCAACTCACACCCCTGGAAGCCAACTCGATTTCTAATATCAATGCCAACATTCATAAGAGAATTTTGCTTCCATTCTGGCATTTTAGTGGTTTGTTTTTCCTGTATCCTGGCTCCAAGTTGGATTTCTGAGATGCCTTGCATAGCAAAGAAGGGTGGCACAAGGTCAAAATGTATCTATTCAATTACATGGATAGTAAAGAAAAGAACTCTTGGTGTGAAGAAGTTGGAGTTTTGTTATGGAGACAAAACCTAGCAAATAAAATGGAAAAGCCATTTAAAACACCCCAAACTTTCAGGCTAAACTTTACTTGGTACATTATCATAAATACAATAGGGTCCCTTTCTGTGACCCAGCAGTATGGATAATATGGTGTGGGAGGACAGGATAGAGTGCCTTCTAGGCTGTTGCAAACCAATTCTGGAATACTTTCCTCTTGGTCAAATTTTCTTTTTGATGCCAAATCAAGATTTCAACATCCCACTCGAAACCAGTTTGCAAGATTTAACTGGCGCG